CCAACTAAAGCACGAAGCATTCCTGAAACGGTTGAATCTGGCCAATATTGCAGACAGAATTCGAGGTTCAGCACTATGAGAGAGACCAGTCTATGCATAATGAGCAGTGCGCGCTGCCGCGTGCCTGGGAGGGTGTGTAAAGACGCCGACATTGGCCACTTCGGCGATGCTGTTACCGCGGTGACACCGACGGTGATCTGAATAGTGCTTCTTTTGTTCTAAGCTACTCACTCCGTTCATGTATTTAAACGGATCCTGCTGGATAGGATCCAGGAGGACAGTCAAAGCAATCAAGTTAAAATGAGTTCTTGGTAGGCCTTCATGGCCCTGCTGTTTCACATTATTACAGGATATACTGCACAGGAAGAATACAGTGGGTTGGTGGATTTGGTAGATGAAAGTTGAATGTATTAAGTATTCTAAACGCTGCGCTCCTTCGGGCTATTATTGGCTGACATTTGATTTTACGCCTTCCCCGTTTCACTTCATTTCTATTCCCAGTCCTGACTATGAAATGCCCTCGCAATCGCCAGACTCACAATCGGATAACTCATAATCCGATCATGCAGCCCATGCTTCACAATCTGTTCTCTCACCACTCCACCTCTGCCCCTCCACTCCATCTCCCACCCACCAGCCCCGAGCGCTAACTTCTGCCTTTCCTTCTCTGACTCCAACTCCTCGAAACTCAGGCTAGCTTCCCGATCTCGTGTGGCATTCACGGCGTGCCAAAACACGATCTCAGAATACATCCATGGTATGTCATAGTCATCTTCTGCGTGAATGAGGGTAATATCGTACTTTCCCTTTGTGCGAGTTTGAGATGTTCGCAGTGGCGAATTAGCGCTGCAAACTTATCTTTCGAGGGCCACTTGCTGATAATAAACCTATTGAAGGAGGCCAACGATTTTGGAAAATAGGCTACGGGCGAGAGGAGAGGTATCGTGCCAGCGATTCTATACGTCTCGGTCAGGAGTTCCACGTCCGCGAACGGGGCTACAAGGACTATGCCTGCGAAGAGCGTCGGTGGAGATTGGAGAGCTAAATGGTGCGCGAGGGATATGCTGACGGCTGTGCCGAGCGACTGGGCGAAGATGACGATGCGTTCGGGTGGGATGCCGGCGGTGTTCATCGCGAAGTTGGCGAGCGTGAGCGCGTCAGTCAAAAGGCCGGCTTCAGACGGCCATCCGGTACTAGGACCGAATCCGCGGTAATCTATCGCGAGGATATGGACGCTGGGTGCGGCAGCAGAGATAGCACGATAGCTCTGTGGTCGCCAACCTGATCCTAGGGTTCCTGCTGCTCCATGCAGGTATATTACCAACTGCGCGTCAGGATGGTCTTTCAGTAACCTGAATGCCAGCCTGTCTTTAATATCATGACATAACCCTGCGGGTTCGTTCCTCAGCGCCTTCTCATTCTTGCGATATTTCTCAAGCGGGAGGATATGTCACGCGTGCAGGGTCTCGCCATCTGGCGTGGTGAGATGAAAGGGCGTTACTTGATTCCGGAGAAACCCCCATTGCTCAGGCACGTTGACGTCCTGGAACCAAGTCAAAGTTACACGGTGCAAGTAAATTACGTGGTCTTGAAGGAAGGGGAAGGTGAGGAGAGCGAGGAAGGTGAGGTAATGCCGGCGCCTGCTACGATGGTGCCGAAGAGGGGTTTCAGGACTGCCGAGACGGACGGCATCTTGGTTGGAGCAGATCGAGCGGGGATCAACCACCCCCTTGGTTTGGTCCATTCAAAACCAACCTTCTGCCAAGGGTTTGGTCGGATTGGTCGCGTCAAGCTCTTGGCATTAAACCAAACCAACCTGACGATTGCAATGATTGTAATATCTGTCCGGGGACTCTCTCTTCGGGTTTAGTGTAGTCCCTCGCTTATCTATATTAGGCATCGCTCCTCAATCTTCGGTTCGCTTACCTGTGCCAAGGCTCGTTCAGAAAGCCACCTAACCCCTTTCTGCTTCAACATATCTTGCCACCTAAGTGGGCTGTCCAGTCATAAGCGACCCGCACTCATTGGATGTTCCGTCAAGGATCCGTGTGTCCGATAGATCGGCGAGCGGTTCAATGACTATGGGTCGTTCAAATTTGCCCAAGCAGGAGCTCCCGCAAGATCCCACGCTACTACTAAAGCGTTTCGAAGACATTGCACGGCTTGCTCAGTCTGCTGTTCTGTCCGACCTGATTAGGCTGCCAGCTAAACGAGAGCTGAATACAAGTCGAAGGCGGTCTCGCTACATTTATACCAACTTTGATCAAACACAAGACCGCAGCACTTTGCCAGAGTCGAGGATACGTCGCGGCTGACCCTTGCCCGCATTGCGCGAGGGGCGAAGGTCCGTTCCAAGAATGCGTCCTTCTCGACGGTCGCGTTGGTGGCATAGGTGTCAACTGCTATCTGAAAAGCGACACTCCGCGCAACTCACACTGCCCTCATCGAACGAAAGGTATTTCTCCATTATCGGACAACAAGTTTGAACTTCCACTGAAAAAATCTAGCGAGCATGCAAACCTGGCATATTCAACACCAAAATCGAGGTCTGGCCGCAGCTAAGGACATGAAAGCCGAGTCTCGAAAGAGACAAGCTCCCTCCCTAGAGGAAATGGATAAGAAACATCTGCAGATCTCCGCGCGGCATTCACTACAAGCGCCATCGACATCTGATACGTTTGTCCTCATGGGCAATTTAGAGCTTCCGGAATTAGACTCAAGCGGCTTGCATCCTACGTTCGTTCAACATATCAAAAAGAATCTGCCTGCTATACAGAAGCTGGACGACCGGGATTTCAGTAGTAAGGTTACCTTGACCTACTTTAATGCCAATGTGGTACAATTTTCTAACATCTTGCTCGCTTTAGCTTTGCCCCATGGTATCGTCGATATGGAGTATGAGTTTTCCGATTTCAAGCGTAGGGAAGTGCAGGCTTGGGCGCAATCAGGACGTGAGCCAGAACCTGGAAGCTCTCTACTTCTTCCATCGGGAAGTTTGGAAGCTACACTTGCCCATCGGCTCAATCGGCCTTCCTTTACAACCACCTTACGTACTGGGACAGAGACGGCTGACAGAAGCAATGGATGTATCGCGATGGTTATGGGAAATGCATATCGCGAGAACGAAACCTTGATCTACGATCATTTGCATCGACGGTCCAGAAAATCAGATGGTCTCGAGAGTTTCCCAGAAAATCATGGAGTCATTACATGCGAAGGTCGAGGTGATCTATGGAAGGCACATACAAGCTCGTGTCCTACAATCAGGGCTGCAACTCACGGCAATTCCTCTCTGGGGTAGCTTCACGAACATTGTTCTCTATTTCGTACACGAAGACGACTTTGAAAACAAGCAGCCAGGTCACCAGTTTCGAAAAGTTATACTATTCGCCGCTCATCCTCAACGAATGTTATACGAGCCTAAAGGTGGAGAAATAGCCGTTCGTCAAGATTGAATTCTCGAAGTTGCCGTGCGGACCACAGATGCAACAATCAACTTTCAAGCCGATTATTACCAAAACAAGCGATGGCAAGAATGTGTTCCACCTGTCAACGAACTTGCGCTATACCGCGCCGCAAAACTTTATGAGACTTTCTCCTTCGAAGATCTCCCCAAGGTTCGCCAAGAATCCCAAGGATCAGACGCAGCACCAAAACAAAGACACAGTAGTAGATGGGATGAGATCTTCAGCCCGGAGCCACACAGCAATGAAGCGATTCGAAAGATACTTAACGAGGCGATCAGAGCAGCCGAAGTTCTTGACCAATAATCACCCACAAATTTGCGAGATCCTGCCGAGCTCCCTCCTGCTGTACTAACATGGCTTAAAGGCCAGAAACAAATCCTTTTTTACGATGTACCAGTCAACGGCGAAAGTGATATCTCAATCACTCTTGATAAATGCAAGAAATTTCTTTCACAGTCCGATCGTCGAGAAATTGAACGCCGCTTTCCAGGACAAGGTCTGCAGACGATGCTAGGACAATTAATGCTGATACAGAAAAAGCATCTTAAGAAATTGCAAGGCGCGCATCAAGACTACTTCCACAGCCGATTTGATGCAGTACCGGTTCACACTGTATGCGCTTGTGGAGAATTCAAAAGTCAGGATGACAGTCCAAGATTCTCTTGTATGAGAGTGGGATCGTATGTTTGTAGACTATCAAAGCGCTGTAAATTAGTAGAATGCGGAGGCCGTTTGCGCTCAATGAGACTAATGTCTAAGTCCTAATTATGGATTCACTAATCCAATGGCATGTCCAGTAGAGGGCAAGTGCATAGGTATTACAGCACAGTCTTACAGTCGCCGCCCAATAATCTCCCGACAACCGTGAAATTATGGTGTGTACAGTGCAAAGAGAAGACACGGTGCGAAGACAATTACAGCTTCTACGAGGACAAGAACGCGGAATGGACACTCGGCGAAACCCGCCCGCTTTATGTGGAACGAAGACCACGGTGCGTTCGCTGTTTCGAATCATGCAGGCATGAGGGAAGGTTTGTTCCAATAGATCCACGGATCTCCTCTATTAGCAAGAACCGTCTTGAGAACTTTGCGCGCCAGTTCGGTCATTTTGATCAGGTCGTGAAAGGCTTCATTCTCGACGGATGGATGCCATCGTCGAGAGAACCGAGAAGTGAGGTGCATGAGTCTACTGAGGATGAAAATTGAGATGTTATAAGCGTATTTATGCTAGTTCCATGTCGTAAGGCATAGATCTAAAGATAAACCTTCAGAAGTAGAGAGCTTAGCAAAAGACTTTCGTGAGCAAAAAGGAGCTAGAATAAAAGGATCCCTATGATAGTAATGCCGTTTGTTAATTGTTCAGGCGAGAACGAAGCTATCGCTTATGTGAGAAGCCTATGTGGGCCTACCGCTAAACCACAGAGAGCCTAGCGACATGCGATGCCCAACATACCCCGTGGCCAACATAACAGCAATCCATACTTTTTCTCTATATATATTGGATAAGTACGTTGCCCTTTAACGAAAGCGTAAGGCGTGATGGTGGAGTGGTTATCACGCAAGCCTGCTATCAATAGTCAGCTTGTCCCTTCGGGGGCGCAGGTTCGAATCCTGCTCACGTCGTTTGTTTTTTTTTTTTCAATTATGCTAGAATAAGCTATTGTTCTTTGTTATTGTAGAACAGCGTCGCACAAATAATGCACAGACAGCGCACGGTTTGTAAATTACTGTATTCTGACGTCACGAGAATATTTTTGTTTAATCTGAGTTGTTAATCCGCTCTATAGCCTAGCTGCACCCAATAGCAGCGGTTCTAGCCACAGAACGTCAAATCTAGCCACAGCTTCGAGCCTGCTGTCCAACCTCCTACCAAGCTCTGAGCCTGCTCAGTTCAAGTCTATAGAGCTGCTCTGCTCGAGCTCATACAGCTGCTCTGGATAACATTCTAGCACCTCTGCGAGGAACAACATCGCTACGCCTTCTAATCCATTTATGTTTAGAAGCATGAAACGAGACAGCATGGGGCGTTGCGGGAGCTAGGCAAGAAAAGCTGACGGGGTCGCAGGGATTAGACTTGGCACTTTAGGTGCAAGTGACCCCAAAAGCGGCGACACAAACTCTCCAAAAGAGGAGTCAAAAGTCCCCGGACATAGAGTTACTGCGGTAAGCTTCTCAACTAGGCTTAACGCCACATTTCTATGATGCTCTCTCGAAGTCAACCTCCAGCAATCTCGTCAACACCATGGCGCGAATTCAATCCAGGCCTTATTAAATTCCAAGAGGAATTTCTTTCAGGCCTCTTTAATGTTGGGAAAATTCTACAAATTTTTTCCTCTACAACCCCTCGATTGTCTCGTCACTGTTAACTTTTGCGTACATCTCACTGACATCATACACCCACACACTCGATATAGCCTTATCTGGCCCTCTACGTAAGCGCACTCGACGCTCTCGGGCAAACGGCCTATCCCCACGCCAGTCTGCAACTGCTGGTCAATCTTCTTGGAATCCTGCTGGCCTTGGCCTTCCAAACTACGTTCATCTGGTTTCCTAAAGCAATGCAGTCAACTTACCCTCTACATCCGATCTCACACCTAAGGTGGATAAGGGCCACACTCGTAGCTGTGTACTCAACAGACTACTCCTCTCTAGCTATACAGTCGCCGTTCCTGAGGTTATTCCTTGCCCAGGTAAGCAGCTGAGCTGGATTTAGGCTTATGGCGCTTGCATTATTCGTCAAACAAACAGGAATTAAATCCTATCTCAACAGTAATCGCGAGTCGATTGAACAGTTCCTCCAGCGCGAGGAGAGGGAACAGAGAGAGCTCTAAGGCGGTAGCAGGGTGAGGAGGAAGGGAACTCGAAGTTTGTGAGGTTTATGTGGTCTACTAGTTGCTTACTTGATCGTTGCTCCCTTTCAACACCGAAAATATCGTCTGTATAGGTAATTACATACATTATTTAAGCTTCACTTTTAACTATCTTGACGATTTTGTGATGTTTGAAATAGTCTCTAGGCTCGCATCTCCACCTTATAAATGCAAGTTCTTATCGTTGAGAGTTTTCAACACCATGCCAAGACTTTAAAAAAAAGACTATATAGCTTGGTTTAAACCGGTTTGCTCAAATCAAACTATTTCAAACTTTGGTCCAACGTCGTCGGACTTGGTTATTTCCAGCCTGGCAATACCCGACCTTGAACCTCTTCGAATTTAACACTAAACCCATGGCAATCCAAAGCCAACTAGCTAACAGAGAGACGATGCCATTAGATACTAGAGCTTTAGAATGACGGACGAGATTTGCAACTAAATTCTTTAATTCATAAACGCCTTTGCAGCCCACAAGATGGAAGAATATAGTGAGCAAGGATGACGTTGGCATACAGCCAATGCGAGGGAAATAGATGCATTCTATGCAATTTTAATTCATATGGGCGTCCATGACGAACCATGGCTTAAGATGGATTGGCAGAAGACTAAATTTAGGTATCGACACGCGGAAGTTGTGAATCGAATCTCACGAATACGATTCCAACAGATTGATCGGCTTTTCTAAGTGTCAGGGCCTTCTCATCTTGCAAAGCAAGATCAAACACCATTTGATAATGTTGAGTGGCTGTCAGAAAAGCTACAAGCCAACTTTAAAGCCAACTAGGATATTGGCACGCATTTAACTATGGATGAAGCAATACAAGGTATTTAAGCACTGGCAAAAGAGATATTGCACATTCTAAACAAACCAACATTAGTTGGAGACAAGCTCTGGTGCATTGCCAACAAGGCGTATTTGCTTAATTGGATGTTCCACGCTAGAGGTGACAGTCCATGGGATTTGGACGATCTTCGGACGAATTCAAAGTACGGCGTCAAACTCACACCAATTGCAGCCGTTGCGCTAGATTTAATATCTTAATTGGGCCTAATACTACACAAAAAACCACGCTATATTGTCTGGTTTGATAACCTCTTTACATTGACTCGTCTGCTTACAATGTCACCCAGCAGCACCAATTGGTGCTGCAGCCCACACTGGTCCATTGTCGCCTATATCAACTCTCTACTGCCTACACTACCTGTTTGCAACTTGCTTGCCACTCATCTGCTTAGTCACTCCTTTATGAATACATGTAACCTAGATAGCCCTCAGTTCCTTAGAAGGTCGCTACTTCATTAATTCCCTGCATTCGGTGACACACAACGCTTTAGAATGAGAATATTGGGGCCATAGGGACAGTTTGAACAAGCTCAACTAGACGAGAAGAGATTAGTGAAGAGAAGAAGCAAGCTTCAAAACCAAAGATCATGGAAGATAATCGTGGTCTGGATTCAAAGATCGCCATCTTGAGATTGAACCATTGCGTGTTGTATTTGGCCTTAAATCAGTTAAACTAGTTAACGTTATTCATTTGGTGGTTATATCCACCGCCCCAGCGTGGGATACGCATCTTTTTCGAGTTGCGTTGCCAAATGAAGCTCGTGTAATGGCCGCATTCGTTGCCGTTTTAGATGGCCGTCTAGGTAATCGTTTAACTCATTCCTTTCCCGTGTGAACAGTGCTCATAAAGACCATTGACCTTGAATCTTGCCACGCGAATTAATTATATTGAGTGTCCTTCAATAAATGAAGATACAACGAGCCCATAGAAGCTGACGTTCGTGCCTCACATATCAAATATGGAAGCTTATTTAGTACTTCTTCTTTGAAGCATTAAGTATAAACGCGTATTAGCTGTCAACTCGAGGCCTTCCATGCGGCCAGAAACCACTATCCAAATCCCAACTCCAGTTTCCAATGAGGCTTTACGAACAACTTTATCAACGTTCACAACGAACAGACGAACGGTTTGCAAAGATACCAGATACTTAGCGAGTAATCCCGCGTGAACAACACCAATACAGAGAAGCTTAGGAAATAAGCAAAGAGTTGTAAAGATTGTCTAAAAGCGGGCCGTAAAACAACACATTAATAGGCTCGCAAACCACTCGCAGAGCGCTCTTCGAACCTACAAACGCGAAAGAGTTGGTATGGCCGCTCTATATGCTAGATTCATTTTTGCGAACGCGATTGTTAGAATAATCATTTAATAGCTTGTAATTTGGACTTAAAATACAGAGGATTTAGCTTATGACTGACTTTATATAAATTTGAATAGCCTCATTACAATTTAATAACTCGAAAGGCTTAAAAACACCGAGATTTGGTTGAATAAGCATTTGTCTCTGGCTGCGAATAGCCTCAGTTAATTTTGGTGTTGCGACCCCTGCAGCTTTAAATTGGGCTAAAGACCGCCCACTGTTTGTGGAAGCACCTGGCAAACGAGGACATAAAAGGTAGGTTGGTCATGCTTCTACTACAGCTAGTACCTGCACCTGTACTAAGACACCACAAACGCATCAACATTAAGACGAATCGCAAAAAGAAGCGTTTTCGAACCCCATACACGCCGATCCTCGAGACTCGTTACTCATCACACCTTTCTTAACTGTTCATCGACTATACGCCTCGCGATTTTTCATCCCGGCGGACCATACCGTTTAGTCCAGTCTAATATGGCCATCACAAGCCTGAACGAAGCAACCGAAGTGGAGAATACCCCCACCACTACCATCACTAATCAAGACATCATCAATCATTCTCTACCGCGCGGAGATAAACTTGCAAGTTACGCAGGAGCCGGAACCCAAGAAATTTTAGACATTATCAAGATCCTCGCAGCCACCGGCATCCCCTGCTGTCTAGTAAGAAAATCGGCTCTCATATACTATGGTGTTACCGAGCAGCCCCCTTGCTAATCGTCCTTGTCGATCCCATTTCTCTTCTGCTGATCCTTATATAGCTTACCAATCGCTCTCAAAGCTTGTTTTTTCCGGTTATTTATGTAGAGTAGACTGTTCGCTCGCTCAATTGATCAAGATGCTCCCCAATTACCCACCTGCTCGCTCACATAAATAATAAGCATATTCCTTTTAAAGGCCTCCGGTTTCAAATCCGTAGTAATTGTATTGTAAATTAACTACTACGAGAGATTAGTACTATTAAGATTGAGAGTAGTAAGAACCTCCTACCGTTACAAAGGTTTTCCTAACTGCATTCGCTTTGTTTTCTACGTAGCCTAAGTTGCTTTATAATTTCTTAGGAAGTAGTTCTTAACGCCTGTATTACTTTTTGTAGTTCGTGAAGGCATTTTTTGTCTCGTAAGTGGTAGACCCTACAAAGATAGTGTTGTATAATCTCTTTGTTAACTAAATTCCTGCTTATAGGCATACCGTAGTCCCAGGTCTAATATGTTGTACGGAAGGGTTGCGCGATGCGCGTAAATCCGGGGATCTTATTATATTACACGCACAAAAAGCCGAATTCTTTTGAATTACGAGCTTCGGATCCTTGGGGAGCAATCTGCGCTATCCTTATCCGTTATTTATAGCTCTGTAGGTGCCATTTCTTCACATTTTCAGATGAAAATAAAGGGCACACTGATGGAAACCCGAAGATCATCAAGGGATGCTGGTGATCCAGTTGATGAAGCCAGGCCCGTGCCAGAGCAACTTAGTGGTCCGCCTGTAGTGTGCGGAGATGACACGCAAACTCATCGAAATACCGAAGCTGCATCTCAAGATGTT